CGGCAGCTGGATGCAATAATTGCATGCCAATGTGCATTGGCTCGTTTAGTTACACTCGAAGTAGACTGGTCTCTCTCCCAATTCGTCAGTCACGACGTGACATCTCCGTTCCCTCCTTACATACGTAACTGAGACGTTTCCTCTTTTAGCTATTAACATCATCTCTGCCAAGCTGACCGATATGGCAAAACAAAAAAAAAACTGTGAGATTTGACAATGCCAGTGTCCTACTGTCTGGAGGCCTAACCTGACAGGAGAGCTCTGGCCTGTTAGGCCTCTGTGGGTTTAAATTAGATCAGTCAGATACATGCACAGCGTGAGCATAATATTGTGCATGAAACCTGCACTTGTACAGTACTGCATGCTGCAAATAAATTTCCAATACTTTTAGATTTAACTCAACCATAATATATGTGCAAATTCATTCATTTTTATTAATTGATTATAATTAGTTTTATAATTAAAGGGAGGGCAATCTAAATCTTAAAGTGTAACCGGTAAGCTTGCATGTCATAATGGTTCATGCATATTGCTTCAGCTTCACATTTATATTTAAATATCGGTTTTAGACTTAACTTTTTCATTTATTTCTTAAATTTCAGCTTGCATGTTCAGGAAAGTGAAATTATTCAGAAACAGTGAAGACGAATGCAGCTGCACCCTGTAATTCGATAAAAATGTGATTGTTTCTTATACGCAGAGAAACTCACAGTTACTGCGGGAAAAAACTAAAATGGAAATAAAAATGTAATTATATGTGCAAATTTGCAGCACTGAACCAGTCATGTAAACAACTTAGCTCACTGCCTGAAACACCTCAGAAACAACAACTTGAAGAAATGTCACAGTGAGTTCAGGTTTTGTTCACATTTTTCTGCAATTCTGTTAAACAGGCCACCCAACTGAGAACAAACAATGTTGAGTACACCAACAAACTTTTTTTTTTTCATCGTCTGGAATGAAACACATCCTGTTCTGTGCTGCAGAATCAACTATCAGCTGTTGTTGAGAAAGCAGGCTAAAACAAGATGACCCCAACGGTGAGTGGACAGGATGTGAATGGAAGACATCTTCCCACAATCCCCCGGAGTTTGAGCCGACAGTGATGAGCTTGAGCTCGCGGCTGTGATAAAACGCTTTGGACGGGAATGAGTGACAGCGACTTGGAGAGGCTGTCTTTACCTGTGTACACACGTTGTCAGACCCAGAGCCCGTAACTGCCTGTCAAAATCTAAGCTGCTGACTGAGCGGAGCACGTGAGCTGGGGTGGATCAATGCGCCCTAATCTTATTTAAAAGACAGAAATCTTAAGGGGAAAAAATTATATTAGTTTAAGCCCGCAGAGAAAACAATATGACTTGTGTGCCATATATCTGCCATATTGCAATTATAGTGACTCACTATAGATCATCTTTGGCTTCCACTGACAGATTCCAGCATTAAAGCTACCTGGTAAAGGAGAACTATGCTCTTGTGATAAGAAAAATAATATAATATAATGTAATATTTATTAAACGCTATTTTCTTATTATTATAAAGGCTCATTGTGAATTCATCAGGTCGAAAAAAAAAAGATACGACCACCCATATCAGCTATACCTATTTGGTTAAAAAATGCATTCACCCTCAGGCCATCCAAGATATGGGTAGGTTTGTTTCTTTATTGGAACAGATGTGGAAATTTAGCATTACATTTCTTGCTCACCATTGGATCCTCTGTAGTGAATGGGTGCCGTCAGAATGAGAGTCCAAACAGCTGATAAAAACATCACAATAATCCACAAGTAATCCACACCTGTTATGTTTATGTTCCTGTTTTTCCTTATTTGGTCAGGTTCCTGTTGTTCATTAGTTCCTTTGCTCATTGTCTAATAATTAGTTAACCTGTAACGCCTTCTCTCATGCCCTCATCTACACTCCTATTTTAGTTCCTGTGTTTCCTCCATTAAGGTGTCGGTGATTGCATGTATTGATGTTTATGTTACGCCTGTGAGCAAATACCTTCGAGTTTCTTATTAAATTCTAAAAGTGGATTATTCGCCTCATCTTAGTCTTCCTTGCTGCAGCTATGTGACAAAATAACCGACCAAAAACGGTGTTTTATTTCGCTGCATTTTCTTTTGTTTGTTTATTCCCTCCATCACCATGGACCTTCCAGCAGTCCAGTTATTATGCCTGGAGCAGAGGGATCGCACCCTGGAAGTCCACACCAGGGACTTTATCGAACTGGCGAACCTAACAAACTACCCGGACCGCTCACTCTGTGGTCCCGCACAAACCTGCGAGGGAGCCGTCCTCGGTTTGATTTCGCTGCATGTGTGGAGTGGGTGCTGATAAACAACAACTCGCCATTCACCATCGGCTTCGCGAAGCCTGCCAGCACGCCTCCCCCTTACCCATCGCCCAGTCAGCCAACATCCAGCCAGGCAGACCAGCCTGATTCCACCGCAGACACGGAGCCTGCGCAAGTCGCGGAGAAAGAGCCAGCAAGCCCTGCTGAGCCGTTTTCCGCCCCGGAGAAAGAGCCCAGTTTATTGTCTGACCAGGTGCGTGAATCGGCAATTATGCCCATCGCCGAGGGAGTACTTGTGGAGTTTGAGGGCATGGAAGGAAGCCCCACCCACACTCCCGCCACTGCTGGGAATCTCTTGTACTATGAGGAGGTAAATTCCCTTTTTTTTCGGCCTCCGCTGGTCCCATCCAGCTCTCCATCGTCTCCTGAGTCTCCATCTCCGCTGGTCCTGTCCAGCGCTCCATTGTCTCATGAGTCTCCTTCGCCTCCGCTGGTCCCGTCCAGCCCTCCTGAGTCTCATGACTCCGCTCCTCCAGAGCGCCCTCCAGAGCGGCCACCTGAACCCGCTCCTCCAGAGCGCCCTCCAGTGCCCGCTCCTCCAGAGCACCCTCCAGAATCCCCCCGGGCATTGGAACTGTTACGGCGCGGGACGCACCTTCCGGGAGGGGGGCAATATGTCACGTTTATGTTCCTGTTTTTTCTTATTTGGTCATGTTCCTGTGTTCATTAGTTCCTTTGCTCATTATCTAACAATTAGTTAACCTGTATCACCTGTTCTGCCCTCATCTACACTCCTATTTTAGTTCCTGTGTTTCCCCCATTAAGGTGTTGGTTATTGCATGTATTGATGTTTATATTACGCCTGTGAGCAAATATCTTCTTTGAGTTCCTTATTAAATTCTAAAAGTGGATTATTCGTCTCATCTTAGTCTTCCTTGCTGCAGCTACGTGACAACACCACTCCAGTCCATCTATTAATGTTTTGTAATGTGAAAATCTGCGTTTTTGTAAGAAAGAAATCCATCAAGACATTTTAACTTCCAGCCAAAATACGAGTCCATAATCCATACTAACACTTCCTCCAGTAAAAAAATTCCATCCACTGTTGTCCTCTCACATATCCACCAACATATTTTATTCAGACCTGTTTTGGACTATTTTCACTGGTAAATTGTGCTTGATGAGTGCATCTTTCTCTCCTGATCGAGAAAAGAGAAAACAATATTATTGATATTGGACTTTTATTTTAGCTGGGAGTAAGGGTTTGAAGTTAAATAACGGTATTAATGAAGTATTTATTTATTACAACCACACCGTTTTTCACTTCATAAGATGCTAATTGATGGACTGGAGTGGTGTGGATTACTTGTGGATTATGTTTTTATCAGCTGTTTGGACTCTCATTCTGACGGCACACATTCACTGCAGAGGATTAATTGGTGATAGGGCTGCACGATAATGGTTAAACTGATAATCACGATTATTTTGATAAAAATTATAATCACGGTTATTAATAACGATTATTGTATCAAAAGGGTAAATGCAATAACATTTAATGTGCCCTTTAACCAACCTCCACTGACTACATATACACTGACTTAATTTAAACAACTATGATAATACAAAACTCAAGGTTTTGGTTAGTGTTTTGTAATCTGTATTCTCATTAGATTTTCTAAGTGACAGTTTGTTTTGTTCGCAAATAAGACAATACATTCTGATCGTGCAGTAAATTTGCTCAAAGATCGTTAATACACACTGATAACATTGCCATGCCGTTTTCAACTGATTAACATTATGAAAACTGGTAAAAAACTTTAGAAACTCCTAATATAACTTAAAATAATTGCAATTTATGTAAATTTTTCCCCATTGTATTGCCACAGGTAGCAAAAGCGCATTTATTCCTCAAAGTTAACACAATAGATCCATTATTGAAACTCGGTGAAAGTTTGATCATGGCAGATTTGGTTACACAAGCAGCACAAATGGCTTGTGAAAAAAAACACACATTGGCTGTATGACACTTTCATGTAAGCAGGATATCGCTGTGGAGAGATCGCTAAACTCCAGTACATGTATGTTTTCTTACCATCAGCACTTGTTCCGCCATCAGTGAGCGCACACGGGGTTGCCAGATTGCACAGATTAAGTAAAATACCGGGCAGAAAGTGTATCCTTAAAGGGGTCCTATTATGCTCTTTTATAAAGTCTTTATTTTGTTTTGGGCGTGTACTAGAACAGGCTCTCATACTAGGTTGTTCGAAAAACACATTATTTTTCACATATTTTACATTATTACAACACCTCTCTCCCTAGTCTGGCATGAACGGCTCGAATAGTTCCTGTATCAAATGAAGGCCCGCCTTCTGAAATACGAAATGTGCTGTGATTGGTTAGCTGGGCCAGTGTGTGTTGTGATTGGCAGCACTCGGCGCCTGCTCGGGAAATGTCCTGCCCCTTACTATAGCCGCCTGCGAGTTTCAGTGTAAATATTGCGTCAATATCAAATCAATTTGAGCGCGATTTAAACCCGGATGATTGTAACCACTCTAAGTTCGTCTGCCTTGCAAGCTAGCGTGTCTCCGACATAGTGATAACACTCGTTGCCTTCTCTAGTGCAGCTCAACCAGGTCTCGTCCCATTCGTCTATATTTGTGATATCACTAATCCCGGAAAATATGCGTTGTAGTCCAAACGAGTCGTTCGTTATAGTTTTTGAAAAGTGATTTCTGTTAAATAAAATATCTCCTTTTGAAGTGGACTTTGAGGTTTGTAACTTTGCAGATCTTTTTTATGCTCAAACAGCAACATTACAGACTAACTACAGTTGAAAAAGTGAAAAAGCATAATAGGACCCCTTTAAAGGAGAAAAGCTCTGTTTTGGGACTTAATCTCTTCACATCTGGCTACCACAAGTATGAGACTAGTGAAGACTTGTTAGCAATGCAAGATAATGCAAATGCCAAATTAAAAACATGTTTTCAGGATAAATAACGAGCCGGCCAATATTGTGACGATTGTTTTTAAATTAATCGAGAAAGGTGGATATCGTTATCGAGATTAAAATACAATTAATTGTGCAGCCCTAATTGGTGAGCAAGTGATGTAATGCTAAATTTCTCCAAATCTGTTCTTATAAAGAAACAAACTCATCTACTTCTTGGACGGTCTGAGGTTTAGTAGGCCTACATTTTCAACAAATTTTTATTTTGGGGGTGGGGACAATTCATTTAAGGGCTGTTCATGGAATAGCAACATAAAACCCAGATGATATGTTCACATCATGAGGAAAAACAAATATTCTACATTTAACAGTTTGTGCTGCTGCTACTTGACAACCAAATTTAGGTGCAAAACATGGCAGAATGCACCTTTCAGCTGGTGTCCCAAATGACACAGGACAAGCAGGGCAGACCATCAATAATAAAATACAGTATAAATCGAGTCTCAGACCAATGATTCAATATTTAAAAACTGTTCTACAAAGTCACAGTAGAACATTTAATGTCTTTTCATGAAGAAGCACCACGTAAGATGCACAAGATCCCAAGACATTCTGCCATTTATCAGTAAATGATGAGGTACTTCTTAACGGATAATTTATTCATGGAATGAAACCCAGATGGGACGTTTAACAAAAATGAACTCTTGACACTTTTTTTTTTCATTAAAAAGATAAAAAGGAAAATGTATGACGTTAATGATTTTAATCTTATGATAGCCCTTTTTTTTCCTTTTCAAAGATGCCAAGGGCCTTAACAATGTAAACTGAATCTTTCAAAAAAAAAAAATTTATCGATTTAAAAAAATGTATGATACTGTATAACGCCTTTAATGTTTTGAAACCACAAAGAAAGACAGGGTGCTTCCCAAGCGGTATAACAAAAAAAAGACATTTTTTTAACATTTAACATTCAACCTTTAACAAAAGCAGCAATTAATCCAAGCAGAGTATCACATTAGTGGACAGACCCCTCTGAATTCCTGCTCTGTACCCAACCACAGCTATTAGCTTATTACCTGCAAAGGCTAAATGCTGTGTGTTCTGCATATCTTACGGGGATGTTTGGAAAGCTTTCACAGCCTCTAAAATCTTCCTACTTAGCTACATCCAAATCTGTGGGCAGCTTACAGTCTGTTCACTGGCCATCTCACGCACATTTTGCACAAAAATGGCAAGAGCTGCAAAATCGCCGGTTCCAATCCGGTCGGCATGCGATACGTGACTTCTGGGAGTCAGGTGGTGCGCCAGTCACTGGAAACAAACAATGTTCACGGCCATTACAGCTTTCAGTCTTTAACTAATGATCCAGCCCTAAGTGTCCATAAATTTTAAAGAAAACCCTCCATGATATCACTTTATATCATTCACGGCTGCGGTGTTTGAGAAAATAGCAGCTCACGTTTGAGAAATTCGCTGTAACATGCATGGACACTAACTGTAAATAGACGCAATAAGAATAGACCATTTTACGGCCACCGTTGTCTCGATGAACAATACATGCTGCATCTGCCGAATGGAGTCTGTCTAGTCTGACTAAAACATTTAGAGCCAAAAAAAGCAGTTATGTCATTCTCTGGTGAGTCCACATAAGGGTCGGGATGGAGTAAAGTGATCTGCCAGAAGAAACAACAAATCAGTAAGACCACAAAAAGAAATCAGGCTTCACTGGGCAGAAGCTCTTAAGATCAGTGGGGGATCTCAGGGGTTTTATACTGAAGATAACTGTAATTGAAAGTACTGATTTTGAGGTCATTTTATTTATAGTCACACATATGAATATATAAAAGCATAATAAAATACATTATAATATGATACAGTTGTTCTAATTACCATTAATTTTCTTCAGCCTACTAGTAGTCCTTCCATAAATAGCTATTACATCATGAATAAAATTATAAAAATGACACAACATCATTCTTTTTATATCCACTAATGTATGTCACTTTTTTAAAATCCTGTACAAATTCTTCAGGATCAAAATCTGGAAAAGGTATTTTTGGTTTTCTTTGCTGTCCTTGCAACCTAAACCCCTTCTTTGGCTTTTAATATTCCATAATGCATGTTATATTTAGAATATGTAGGCTACTCATCTTTCTAAGGCAGCTAATGCATCTAACTGTCCTATTACCTGCATCTACAGTAACTGTTCTTTGTCTAAATTTATTTACTTTTTGTGTTATTGGCTCCAGAGTGCTTTACATGACAGCAGTGCATTATAATTAGTTCAGTGAGAACTGTATATAGCCAACGTATTAAATCCAGACTTAAACATGATTAAAATGCATGTTTATAGCTAAAGTGAAAGAAACTTGAAACTGAGAATAAGTCATTTCAGATTCACTGAATATATGCAATACATTTTTCTAAATTCAATTTGTATTTCCACATGAATGAAGCATCAACAAGCACTTATTTAAATAATGTTTTATGCATTAAAAAAGCTAAAACAACCTCAAAAACCAAAAAACAAGCTAAAATATTAATATTCACAAAAACGGTTCCCTGTACTGTATAGCAATGCCGTTGTATCACAAATCTAGATGCATACTTCACATAACCCATATTTGTAAAAAAAGGACAGTATGTACTAGACTGTAAGTATAGTATGATGAAATATTAAAAATATGACCAACAAAAATCATTTTGACTATAATATTACAATATGTCTAGCTGTATTTCACACATAAGATCACTAAGCCCTACTGTGAAGTCATTTTGTTAGAAATACTCTTGTGCCAATCTGAGTCGTTCAAATGAACACATAATATTTGGCCCTAATTGAATGGGATGTCAGAGGAGGGGGTTCGGTGAAGAAAGTGACATTTTGGGAAAGGAGAATCACGTAGAGGAGAAAGACTTAATGAGGGAGAGACTTTCCACCCTCCCAAGAGGATATGACCTTTTCTCCTTCCCTACAATGGGTCCTTCATATTTATTAGGCTACTGTTGATATGTGGGCTGTGGAGACACAACGTCTAGCCACCCAGACTGCACTCCGTCATTTAAAACACAGGACGTTTAGCATGCAAAAAAACCAAAAGGTTCATTCAAGTCAATGTGTGGAATTAACAAGCGGGTTTCTTTGGGAGCTGGGGAATTCATTGTGATGGAAATTCGGTTGAGATTAAGGAGCATGCTATCAGTCAAACAAAAAAAGTGTTTGAAGAAATTTGAAATAAACTCCTTTTATATTCTTGTTATTGCAAGTTATTTCATAAAAGGTCATATTTTACCCCAAAACCAAAAAAGACAAATTAAGGGACTGCTAATTGCTTGAAAATAATCTCTTCATAAAAAGAATAAAGATTTTAACAATACTAAAAATAGGCTTAATTTTCTTAATGCAAAATATTTTTTTTTATCTATTTCACATTATAGTTTTTATTATAGACTCTTAAAAATAAGGGTTCTTTATTAGCATTGATGGTTCCATAAAGAACTTTTAACATCCATGCAACCTTTCCATTGCATAAATGGTGCTTAATAGAGGGAAAATGTTCTTTAAATTAATAAAATGTTATTCAGACTAAGAAAACAATTTATTTTAAGAACTGATTAAAACAACATACATACAGAAACAACATACAGAACTACCACATTTTGCTATAAGTTTGATTGCATCATATAATTGCTGTTAATAGTGTTCATCGTCTGTTTGATTACATCTTTAATTGATTTTTCCGTACATTTCTGCCATATGTACATTAACTGACAGTCACCACTGATAAGCTACCACTAAATATTGTAGAAACTTAATTTGCTGTAAAGTTGCTTTGCAACGATTTGTATCGTGAAAAGCGCTATACAAATAAACTTGAATTTAATTTAATTTAATTTAATTGATTACCGTAAGGTTCTTTGTGGAAATCAAAATGGTTCTTCTATGGCATTGCCGAGAAAACCCCCTTTGGAAACCTTTATTTTTAAGAGTGTATATAACTTTAATTGTATGTATATATAGAGAGAGAGATTCATTCATCCACTGAATACTGTATGTTTTGTTATTAAGAGAAACTCAAACTTATCAGAGTCAAGGAGGTCTAACATCTCAGTAGTTGTACTGTACTTAACTTACTCCACATGGCCTTAATCAATGTTTTGTCTTTTGAAAATTCTGCCCGTTACTGAATGTGATTTATTTCCATCGGCTATTACAGCTTCAAAAGTGGCCACTTTAATCCTCTGAGGGCCACAAATGAATAAGACACAAGCAGTCATCGTCTTTGTTACTGAAGTTCCTGACCGTATTTCTTAATGAGCCCGCAAATAGCATGTCCATCTGCTCTGTCTGTGCCTCAAGTGAACACAGGATCTTTTACTTTCTAGCCCATTCAGTTGCCTTTAACTGAGACCATTATCGCATACCCTAGAAAATCATGCATTGCTCTGCTTGCGAGACTCTGACAGACATCAAAGGTCACAGGTAGACATTTTGCTTACTGGCATGAAAGGTAAAAAATGTAGTAATGAGAGTATCACGATGATTTCTCCTAGCTATGGTAAAAAGAACGTATATCCATTAGTTGTGCAACGGTTCAAAGAAAGGTTAGCCAACATGAAAAGTAAAAGCTATGGTTTCCAAAAGAGATAAACCCTCCAACTGGCACCTGCATTTCAGAAGTAAAAAATTATAAGCAGGAAACTGTTTAAAGTTGGCATTAAAATAAAAATTCACTCTATCTATTTTCTAAATGCACGTTATCGGTCTTATTGTGAACGATTCATTCATGCATGTTTTAATTTTTGGAATTTTTTAATTAAAATGTCATAACTCGATTTTCCAGTGAAATGACAGACTTCTCTCTGGTGATATATTTTGGATTTAGTCTGCTTAAACCCCTCTCTTTTCTTACAAGTCCCTGCCCAACATGTTTCCTTTTCAATGCAAAAAAGATCGTCTCGGTTACGTATGGTAACCCTCGTTCCCTGAAGGAGGGAACGGAGACGTCACGTCGGATGACCGACGAATTGCCCAGCGACCTCCCTTCTACGGGGTCGTGGTTAGCAGCGATTGCAGCGACAAACACTTTAAGGGTGGACGGAGACAGCCTTCGCTCCAACCCTTGCTGAAAAAAGGACAGCACAACTCTGATCGGGCATCTTCGGGGGGTCTTCTCGGTGAGAAGAACACCACTCAACGAACGGGTTCCACTTCAAAGCGTAGGCGTGTCTCGTAGACGGTGCTCTCGAGGAGCAGAACGATAGAACCGCTCAGCTCCGAAGCGAAAAGCTGAATATGCGCTGCATCTGCTGCCTACTTATACTCACGCTGTGATCAGCAGCAGCTGGATGCAATAATCGCATGCCAATGTGCATTGGCTCGTTTAGTTTACACTCGAAGTAGATTGGTCTCTCTAAGCGAGATCCCAATTCGTCGGTCATCCGACGTGACGTCGAGAGTGACCGACTGAAAGGGAACTGTCGTTACTTCAGTTTCATTGCAATATTAACTTGAGGATACATGTTCCTGGATCCACATCGTTTGTTGTTTCTACACTGAAAAAAGTTGTAGAAACAATTTTGGTAACACCATACTTAAAGCCTTTGTGTATAATGCACTATTAAGGTATTATTAAGGCATTGTAATGCATTATATCTTTTCACAAATGATTATAACCAAAGTTAAAATGCATTGTAATATTTGAAGGTATGGTTGTAATGTGCCTTTTTGTGTCTTTTTATATTTTCTAAAGCTGTAACAATGAATAGATAAGTATTATAATATAGTATACTTTTTAATACAATTATTCATGAGATCATACAATGCAATTTAAGGTGTGTTACAAGACACAATTAATGCATTACAACTACTTTTATAATGCATTATATAACAGTGTTACCAAATTCCTGTTTCACTCAGGAATTGCTAGTAAATTCACAATTAATTACAATGAAATGGCAAGTAACACATTGAATTAAATATGAAATTTTGAAATAGAAAGACTAAAATTGTACTTTCTTATAAAACATACTCCAATAATCTTTGCAACTTCAGAAAATATTTTTTACGACGTGTCTAACCAGTAATTGCCCTCTGATTTTATGGTTATGATTGGTTGACAGGCATGACATTTCTGGGAGGTTGAAAGCATTAAGTAAAAACGAATCAAGTTGATTACTGATTGAACTACTTTAATGATCAAAAACATTAGAAGACTAGAAGCTGGGATTAATCTTTTGACTCATTCTTTCTGTCCACTGTATCATTACACCAGCTACTATTGACAAGTAATATAATCAGAGCACTAAATGTAAATTGCCGAACATTAGCCACTGTTTACAAGTGCATGGAAGTGAACAAGAATTATTCACTCACTTAAAAGTTTCATTCAGAGAACATTTTACTCACATGTAGCGCAGGTGAGGGTTCTGCGTAAATGCACGTGCCTGGATTGTCCGTAAACTGCAGTTTATTATTGTCCTGAAAAGAGAGAGAGAGAGACTATCATATGTGACCTGTGCTGGCAAAATGAGTTACAATGATAAAAAAAATGAGTTTTAAAAATGATGTATGATTTGTTGGAATAAAAATGAAAAATGACTGAGCTACACCTGTTTGAAATCGATGGAGTCAGCAAAGTAAATTTAGAGAAAAACTGATTTCAAGTTTTCTGAAGGTTCCAAAGCAAAATCACCTAGCAACATTACATCTTTCCCCCCACTTCTTTTCTTAATAATCACAACTAGATTAATTATCACAATATTGTCAGACTTTGTTCCTTGTTTTGTGTTTGTTTTGCTCCCCATGTGCCTTCCTTGCCCTTATTTGGTTTTCTTCCTGTTCCTGCTCCCTGATTGTTTCTCATTTGATTCCAGGTGTGTCTCGTCTTACCCTGATTAAGTTGTGTATTTAAAGTGTTTCCTGTTTTGAGTTCCTTGTCCGGTATTGTTCGTACGAGTGCTACGTATGTTTTCCTTGTTCCCCTGAGTTCATTAAAATCTCTCCAATGATGTACTCCTCGTCTCCTTTGTTCCTCGCTCCGCACTCCTCACAGTAGTGCAACCGTGACAGAATACCGGACCAGAGACAGTAAGCGGCGTCCCTTCTCCCAGTGTTTGTTTTTTGGTTTTGAAAGTGTTTTGTTTTCCTGTTTTTCCCCGTGGCATGGAAACCGCTGCACGTTTCGCCACGCCGTTGTCAAGCCCGCCGGCTGCTCCGAAGACAAGTCCGTCAGCCCCGGATTCCACAAGCCCGCCAGCCGTTCCCGAGTCAGGCCCACCGGCAGCTACGAAGTCAAGCCCGCCGGCCGCTGTTGACCCAAGCCCGCCGGCCACCGCAATGACAAGACCGCCGACCGCCCAGTTCACCCGTAATCAGAAGAGGAGGAAGAGGAGAAATGACTGGCTCAGGGCCCTCTTCCTCACCCGAGAGCGCGCTCGAGTGTTCGCTTCAGTGTCAGCTCGTGCCCCAGAACTTGCTCCAGTGTCAGCTCCAGCCCCAGAGCTCGCTCCAGTGTCGGCTCCAGCTCTTCATGTTCCTATGTCTGGCCCATGGAGGGCCTCGGAGCCGTAATCATCCCCAAGTATTTTTGGGAGAGGGGGTAGTAGGGCTCCAGCCGTAGAGGCCGGGGCTGGGGCCTCGAAGGCTGCTCCGCCATGGCTCCCCGAGTCCCCTTATCTGCCATGGCCTTCTGAACTGCCTGCTCCACCATGGCTCCCCGAGTCCCCTGATCCGACATGGCCTCCTGAGTTCCCTACTCCACCATGGCCGCCTGAACTGTCTGCTCTGCCATGGCATCCTGTTCCTGCTCCCTAATTGTTTCTCATTTGATTCCAGGTGTGTCTCGTCTTCCCCTGATTAAGTTGTGTATTTAAAGTGTTTTCTGTTTTGAGTTCCTTGTCCGGTATTATTCGTACGAGTGCTACATGTGTTTTCCTTGTTCCACTGAGTTCATAAAAATCTCTCCATTGATCTACTCCTCGTCTCCTTTGTTCCTCGCTCTGCACTCCTCACAGTAGTGCAACCGTGACAAATATAGCTATTTTTTATTTTATCTTTGTTTTTATAAATAAGAACCGATGCAAAAAAGAACAAATATAAGAAAGAAACAAGTTTATAGTGTATTACTTTTTTCTTTTTTCATCTAAACGTAAGCATTCAAGTAAGAAAAACAAATAGTAAAATGTAAAAATCACTTAAGTTTGTTCATTACAAATAAATTGATTATTAAAACTACAAAAGCAGTTGTAATCAAGTGCAGTGAGTGATTCCCTCTTTTCGTTTATTGTTTGATTAACACTAATGCAACAGATGGCCTATATTAAATAGTGTAATGCATGGATCTAATATAATGTTACACATCCAATGTTTTTCCCCAACAGTTCCCCAAATGTTAACATAAGAACTAACTGATTATATATGAGTGAATTGCCTACTTAAATACTGTAAACACTAATGCAACAGATGGCCTATATTAAATAGTGTAATGCATGGATCTAATATAATGTTACACATCCAATGTTTTTCCCCAACAGTTCCCCAAATGTTAACATAAGAAATAACTGATTATATATGTGTGAATTGCCTACTTAAATACTGTATTTCTGTGTATTTCTGTATATTTATCGGGATCGCACGCTGGCAGAAGCATCTTTATGCGGGCGCTTCGGATGACAGTCAGCGCGAGCAGAGAAAAGGTACTCCTCTCATAAAACGTACAAATAAAGATACTTTTAGATGTTTAATTTTTATTTGGAGCAGTGAGATCGCTAGACAAGGGCTTAATATACTCATTTTTGTGAAAAACTCAAATGCGAACAAAATCGACATTTTGCACTTTTTTTGCCTGTAGCTCAAAATGAGCCTGTGCACATTCCGACTCATTTTGACAGCACGGGTCACATATGAAAAACGCACAGTTCCTCTCAAAAATCTGTGAATGACAGGTGTCATTGGCTGGGCACAAATGAGCAGCATCAATCCAGCAATGATGAGGGCAAATGAATTTCCCAAGGTGAGACCACCAACATTTATTTCAGCCTCCACACAGCATGGTTCATCCAGTAATTTTGACTGAGGGCCCTGTTGTTGGTCATTTGCACCTGGCATTGCAAGTCGATCATTCAAAACTGAGGATGCCAACAGTTCATTAGAGCCTTGCGGCTTGATATACACCGTTTATGATGATAAACTGCAGAAGCAATCTCAGTTCACCATCTTTCCCATCTCTTCAGAGAGTGTCATTAGAATAATGGTATCATCAGGGTCCCCAATTTCACAGCACTGAGCCACAGTGGCAGCTGGAATGAATTGTGCATCCTAAAGACTCTCGGTGGCATTAATTGGTAATGACTGCATTCTTTTCATTACAGGAATTTAATGCAAAAAGTGATTACACTCATAACACCCTTATCCAGTGAACAGTAATCAGTACAGAATTAGTTTTATTATGATGATGGCTCTATAGCTATAACTATTCTAGGAATACAATTATCCGTCTCTGTCATGTAGATGTAAGGAGGATGTTGGCAGTGTTTATACCATTTCTCCTCTTGACCATTCAGCTCTTAAAAGCATGAAAACAAATGCAAGGGGCCTTATTACGAAACTCTCCTGATGGTCCTTCACGTGACACGTGTGAACTTGTGGGGGTGGGATTACGAGTGTAGGCAGATATTTCATTCCGGCGCTGCTGCAATGGTGCTTCTGTGTGTGCTAGTGAACTCCCTACGAGCAGGTCGGTGGTCTCTACCAATGTTTGAACTAGAAAAGTTTGGCAAAGTTTGGCTGAATTTTTAAAAATGCTCAAAAAACCTATCACTTCAAATGTTGTTCAGTGCTTATGTGCTTTGAATACCTCAAGATCTATACAAGGATAGTTCAGCCAAAAATAAAATACTGTCATCATTTACTTACACTCATGTCCTTCCAAAACAGCATGACGTCTTTCTACCGTGGAACACAAAAGAGATATTTTGGGTACAAACAATATTTCCAAACAACAAAATAAATACATTTTTGTACTCTACAGAAGAACTGAGGTCATATACAGTAGGTTTGAAACAAGTAAATGGTGACAGAATTTTCATCTTCAGGTGAACTATTCCTTTAAGACTTGGTTTAGATGGATGGACAGATTGATAGATACTGTATGTGAATGTATGGATAGATGGATAGATAGACAGACAGACGAAAAGACGAATATACAGATGGACAGACAAATGACAGATACAAAGACGATTGAATAGATGGATGGACAGATATACAGTACAGATGGATGGACGGATGATTGGATGGATGGACGGATGATTGAATGGATGGACGGATAGACGGAAGGACGGATTGATTATTTGATAGATGGTTGGATAGATGGATGAATGAACAGCTAGATAGACAGATGGACGGACAGATGGATGGATGGATGGATGGATGGATGGATGGATGGATGGATGGTTGGACGGACGGGTGTATGGATGGATGGATGAAAGAACAGAAAGATGGATGGATGAAAGAACAGATAGATGGATGGATGGATGGATGGATGAACGGACGGACAGATGGATGGATGGACGTACGGACAGACGGATGGATGGTTGGTTGAATGGATGGATGAATGAACAGATAGATGGATGGATGGATGGATGGATG